AAATCTGTTGTATTTATAAACAGCTGAAATAGCCAAAAGCAAATTTCATTTATCTTCCATACAAAACTCACATCAACTTATTGTTAACTATCGTAGATTTATTCCAGGCTGTAGTGTATTCCTCGAATTTTTTCGTATCATCCATCTCAGTTAGAAATATTAAAAGGAAAATTCACTAAAAATTCAGACATTCATGAAGATGTTGAAAACACTGTTGAGTAAATGATGACGGCATCGAAGGAGATCTTTAAAATTGATAAAAATTTGTTCGTTTATCTACTTCTCTTTGCATGAAATTATAAGTGTCACAGTTTTTCATTGTTTGAGTTTTTTTTAACATGATAGCTACATTAATTATTTATACACATTAAACGTGAAAAATATTGTTGTATATGAAAGTAATGTTGGAGCATATACGCGAATCATTTTTACTACACATATTTAATTTATCGGATCAAATATCCTAAGGGTAGTATAAGTGTTAGTGATTAGTAATATAGAGTGTAGTATAAGTGATAGTGCTTCCGACCGTTCGATTCTTTTTAATAAGCAGATAAGGAAAGTTACAGTCAAAGTTAACAAGTTTACAATTATCAAGAATCCAGGGTGATTGAACGAACAGTTAACAAAACATTCATTCTTTTCTTTGCAAATAAATTGTCCTAAATGTTATTATTTTGCTACTAATAACTAGTAATACGAATATTATATAATAATCAAACAATGTTTTGTGGTCAGACTTCTAGCACATACAGTGACTCACAGATTTGTTCACATACTTTTGAAATAACAGTTAAATGTAAAAATTTATATACACTTCCTATTTATGTATCCGCATTCTTCTTGCTTTTATCATACTTTTGTGATGAATTTTTCTTAATTTTGAAATGAAATTCATAGTTCGGTACATAATTTGGCCAAATAAATACGACAGTCTTCCATGAACAAAGTGAGTAACTGTATCTTATTTAATCCCATCACAGTCTTCAATTACGTATAATAATCTCTCGATATAATAACGAAAAAGAAAAGTAACACACACATGGTAATATCTTCTATATAATTTTCTCAAAAATAAAATTTTAAGGCGAGCAAAACAAGTTGATTGGGTCGAGAACGATCCGGTTGTCGTGGCAGGGCTGAACTTTAAATCAAGTAAAATATGCTTCAAAGCTCGTCCTTAATTAAAGAAATCGTCAGAGATGAGATTGCACCGCGTGAAACGCGCCAATTTCCGTTTTAGACTGCGATGTAAATAAAAACTGATGAAACGACGTGACATCTTCCGGACAATGAGAGAAGTCGAGTATGGGTTGAAATGGACGCGACTTGGAATTTCAAGCGCGAGACTCATAATGGCCCGGCACATACATATTAGTTTATCTCGTAATGATGCCAACGAAGCGACAGGCACTCCTTAGTAATTCCTTCGATGCCTCGTGCTCGAAGGAATTCGTCCTCGGTGACCTCGGGAATGAGCCAGGGTGCCACTAGGAATTACTTATTCCGATCGATCAGAAAATGAAAACAAAAAGGAACAGCGAATATTGCAACGTGTTAAGGTCACAATGACCGCCTCCCTTAGTTGAAATGTTGATGGCTGTATAAATACATACACTATCGTTATAAGTTTATCAAACGTTATAGTAGAACTACTGTGAAAAAGTCACCTTGTAGTACAAAATTTTACTAAATGTATTTGATAGTCAAATTAAAATTTGTCCACCAGTAGATATTTAACTACTGTGTCACGCTTCTTCTATTGCCATTTGCACTATTTCTTATTCTTTTAGTATTTTCATTTTTTCTTCAAGTACTTTATATTATTTTCCAATAAAATTTTACTTTACTCTTTCCGATACCACGGTGTCCAGAATCTTATGCGGTTGCCCCGCAAATATAATACTCATTCTTGATACGGACAAATACGTGACTCTGCATTACAAGTGAATATGCTTTCGGAAAATGTTGCATATGTATACATGGTTTGGCTTAACTGTTCAGTGGTACGTCGCTTATCTCCGTTTGATTATGTGTGTTACCAGAACACGGGAGATAAACAGGTGCTTCATATTTCGTATAATGGAGAATATAAATATTGCGTATTATTTTATGTATATATTCTATACTGCTTCAACTTATTTTCGTCAAACTAGATTCCACACTAACAGAGATTTTCTTTCTCACCGGAGTTTCTAAATTGAAATTATCTCGAAATGAGGAAAGGAATTTTTGAAAAAAATATTTCTTCCGTTGAGTATTTTATTACGATAAAAATGAAACAAGAGATTGAGGGCAAAATTTTGATGACATTGAAGCATACAATATGCAATCTGTTTAGAAGTAACTTTTTTAATGTTAGAATCTACAAAAGGAAGGAAATGTCGTGTTTAAATTACTGTCGAAACAATGTAAAAAGTGGAAAAATATGTGAACTTTTTACTTTTATTCTTCTAATACTATACAGATTTAATTTGACACATCATGGCATGTAATTTTGTTAAAAACCAAATACACATGTACTATAAATATATTATAAAAATAGACTGTATTTACAATACAAATATATTGAATGTACTATAAAAATATATACACCGATAATAATACTCGTAAATTAATAGCATGTAGTTGTGATGTTATAAGTGACATTATGCCTCTACATTCCTGCCCCAGTTTCCGCAATAATTTATATATGTACATAGTTATGTACATGTATAATTCTTTCTAGTTAGAAAGTGTGGGTATAATAGAACCACGATTAAACCGATAATATGGTTAGGCGACACAATATCACAATGACCGGATGTTTCGGATGATCGACGCAAGGATTACTATTTATTATACATAGAATACTACATATAGATACATGTGTACAGTTTTAACTAAAATTTAGTTATTTATCCGATTTATATTCTGTTACCACAACATTTTTCCTTATACATATAACAGTTTTAGTTAACCTTTCATATATTTCAATATACTTAAATTACATTATTTTGATAATCGAATGCTGAATTAAGCAATCTTTGAATACACGGTGCTCAGATAATCGAGTTTCTATTCTATTTTGTATTCAAATATACAGTTAGAATAAAAAGTGAGCATACATTTTGAAAGTATAGGATCTATACATATTTGTTTCTCCAAATTTAGAATCTAATACTTCGCATCGCTGCTCTATTACATTGATGTCTGGTGACTCTGGAAGAGGGCTTAACTGATTGAAAGTGTTTTCCAGCAAACAATTTTTAGCCACCTTTGCTGTATATTATGGATCACGATCTCACTAGAAGATCTATGAATGCACTTGCAGCTGAGTTTGAGTTTAAAATATTTAAACATCCAAATTTGTCCATAGTATTACAAATAAAAACCAACTGTCCTTCACCAGAGTTTGCCATGCTGTCCCAAACTATAATAGTGTATTCACTATGTTCAACGATACATTATAAAATTTCGTGGTTATATAGCATCGAATTTCTTCTTCTCGAATTTTCCAGCTTCCTATTCATCCCGAAAAAGTTAAGAAAATTATATCCAGCTGTATCACTGCCACAATCTTACAATAGTAAGATGCTGCAGAAGTATTATAATCACCTTTGTAAGGTGTAGGTACCTATACTTAGTTTTGACTCTCACTGTATGTACAAATTGTATTTGCATTCAGGTTAACGATATTAATGACATAGTAAATTTTTTTCGATAATTCTGGTCATGCTATTAGATTTAATATTATGCGTGCTATGCATAATTTACCGTAATCTTCTATTCTTGTACTGTCATCCATATTACTGTAAATTTTTTGCTCTCTTCTATCCCTTACCGTATACAAATTTAGGTCTTTCTATTGTAGGTACATAATATTGTTTTATTAGCTGTATCAATAAATATTTCACAATTTTTTGTCGATGCATAAGTAAAAGGAAGTATCCATACATCGATGACTTTTACCAAGTGGCAATACTGTTTTTAGTGTAACAACAGTTAAAATGATTTCTATCAGGCTATACTTTAATATACATCTAATTTTTTTAGTATACTTGGAAGTAAATTATTCTCATCCTAATGTTATAGTGAAAATAGTATTGTCAATTTGTCATAATCGTCACTAGTGTACGAATACTTTTATCTTCGACTGCGTGTTAGTAACACAGTTTAAATGCAAAACATTTTTTTGCCCTTTCTTTCTTTAAAAACGGCGGTAATTATTGAAGAACGAGCGGAAATATCATTCCTCGAGCAGAAAAATTAAAACAAATACTGAATTTAACAAAAGATAGCAGGTTATTTATTCATACGTTCAATAATAAATTGCGAAGAAATAAATCGAGAAACAAATATAAATTCCAGTCTACAATTTATTTATTTATTAAAATGTACAAATTACTACACAATATAAACCGTTTGTAGTTTATATACTATACATTTACCGTAATGTACATTTCATAGTAGTTTAACAATTTTGTCGTAATACATATAAAAGGGAAACGAATACGTGTACTATATGTTGCAATGTTCGTTTTGTGTAAGATTGTACTCTAATGTTACAATTCTTCATGAACTTATAAATAATATTTAGTACCGTAATTCTCTTAAAAATATACTCACATCGTGTGGTGGATAACACTTTATTTTAAGGAGAAACTGCTCCATCTGTTCTTGCAATCATTAATGTATTTTTCTATTATGTAACACTTTGAACGCGATCAATCTTGATAAATTAATCGAGACGCAGTAAGTAACGAATGATCTTTTTAATAATGTTTCAGATCAGTTCATCGTCTACTTCACAAAGGATATGTTCGGACGTCACGCGTAGAGAAGCGATTCGAGGTTCATGGGAATGAGTTTCTGGCAAAAGGGTGAGCCAAGTGGCTCCGCGTTCTGCCGATTCATTCTGAATCATCCCTGGTCTCGGTGTATTGAGGATATTGTCGCGACCTTGTTGTGAAGCGGGTGACGTAGAAACACATCCGACATCCGGCCTGAGAACGACTTTATGCCGGTAACCAAGGTCAGGACGCAGAACGCCAAAGAAGGCGCAACAGGGAGCTAAGAGTATTTCCGTTTCACCCCTCGAAGTGTATACACACTCCACAACATCCAAGATGTTGCGTGATTTCGTCAAAAAGGTAACTGATTTCTTTCTAGTGCCATTGCTGTTCCTTCTATATTGTAATCATTAGAGAGAAGTAGCTAAATATTGAAAACCATTTTGTTTTCTAATGTTAAGAAAGAATGTTCAATATTGAATTAACATTAAAAACACATAAATAGTACCTAATATGGAATAGGTACCTACCCAAATATGGAACACTGATATGAGGTACAATATTATCATGGAAAATAAACAAAAATTCTTTTATTCTTCTTATTGATTAGGACACTTGGATTGTAAAATCACATTTTTTCAAAATGAAATTAGAAAATAGATATTTGCCATAATCACATATCCAAGTGCCAAACTCTGCAGCAGCACATTCGTCATGCTTCATATTTGGAATTTCACAAAGTTAAAAACAGAACATTATGCTTTCAAAAATCACATAGCTTCACAAATACCTATGAATACTACATGCAAATATGTCAACAAGAACAACAAGTAAACATGTCAAAATAATAACAATTACGAAAAATAATCCATATTTAGCCACTTTCCTCTACTGCAATTTTTGAGGGTTACAAAATCTTTGAAAGTATTTTAAAAAAGTAGAGAAGACTGATGCTTCACTCCTAAAATACTAATGGTACTAGATTTTGTAAACCTTAGGGAATTATGATAGTGTTGGATACGTTTTCTAAAAAATTACTTTGAAATTAGAACAATACTTGTACATGAATGAAAATTAATTAATTAAAAATAAACCTGTAAAATTTCAATAGGTACTTTAAATGTAGTACCGAACCTTTTCAAATGAAACTTCGAGTTACGCAAGCTTACTGAACAGTTGTGTATGAACGTTAATGAAGCAGTTCTACATTTAGTTTCACAGATTCGTAGATAATTTGTAAATTCTACGTCACCAACAACTTTTTAGTTGTAATATAATTACAGTAACAATCAGTGTTAATGTACAAAGATTAATTCAACTTGTAGAAAACACAAGTTTGAAAATTCGTCGAACACACGTGCGTTTCAATGTACTGTTGAATATACATATTTGGCGATTATCTACTGATCCTAGTTACAATCAACATTGGCAATTGCGCGGTATTGATATGAAAAGATATTATACGTTCATAAATAAATTGTACATCTCATTCATTAACAGTACATGCGATTGTCTCAACCTCAAGAGCAGTAAAAAGTGTAATAACCTGAAATTAATAATATTTTTATTTTATTTGAAACTTAATAGAACCTTTCATTTTTTATTACAGTTTCTTTAAATTCGCCGATAATATATTATATATCCGTAGTTTACTAATAAATACGATCACAAGTAGAAATAATTACGAATGGTCAGACAGACAAACGAAATGATTTTCAAGTGGTATGTACATACATCGAATGAATTTTCCAACTCAGTTTTCTCGATAACTACATTTCGTACGAAAAAATATGATTCTACACTTTCGATTTTCTATTACACAAGAATTTCATTATTCATTTTTTCATCGAATAAATATATCATTTTAATAATAATTTATAATTCATCCAATACTTTGTTTATTACAGTTGTCTGTGTGCAGGTAGAAATATGTAGATTTAAGAAAATAAACTATTTTTATAGGTCACTTGTGTCCCGGAGACAATTTGAAAATCGATCATATATACATATTTCAAGAAACTCGACAATTTATTCAATAAAAAATTTTGATCCCTATTTTAATTTACGAGATAATTGATAGTTATTCTCACCAATAAGAAAAACTACGGATCACGTTGTGCACAGATGAAAACAGACGATATTTCGAAAACTGGAAACTAGGCAAGATTAAGTTTCGAACAAATATAAAATGGTTACATCCACACAGAGTTTAATCCTCAGAACGCGAGTAAAGCAGATTTATATCGGCCACTTTGAGCTTACACCATGTTACGGGAACTAAGCTCTATTTCTTTGTATCGCAACGATCTGACGTGAGTTAGGAGTAATCAACAGTGAATTATATTTCTGCATCTGCTCACAGTTTACCTCAAGTACTAAATTAAAGAGTTCTGTTCCAAATCAGTATCAAGATCCAGGATTGTCTTGAGTAGATAAAGTTTCATCGCGTCGTAATAATTCTCGAGGATTTTTCTTAACACCGAGTTCGTTATCCGTTCCATTGGACTTTGTTAGTTTCTAAAGCTTTCAATAATTTCGAACGCTGAAAATTTGTTCGTTCAGTCGAGTGTGTTTCCATCGATTTATACGTCACTGAATTTCATTCTCTATTTTTGGCTTCATAGACACACTGAAATGTTGTTTGTAAACGAAACAGTGGTGGCTAAAAAAAAGGTGAAAACTTGAAGTCGGTAACAAAAGTACTTTAAATACAGTAACTGTATTATATTAAGCTTCCATTTTAGAGTCTCGAGTGTAAACGGGTTATGGAACTTGAATTATTCTCCACACACGTCTGACTGATATTAAATTGAAATTAAATTTACCGTTGTCTTTTTTGTAGGATACGTGAAAGAATGTGACATGGAACTTAAACGTTATTGTAATAAAAAATGTCGAAAATATTTTTAAAAATTATGTGAACGTTGCAAGTAATTTGTTCAGACATTTTGAGAAAAGTATGAAAGAAAATAAATACCTTATCAATTTTTTACGTGTTCTTGTTTTACTCAACACTTTTGCAATTTTAAGCATGAAAGGCTCTTGAATGACAGTAGAATTACTAACCAAATTAAAGCCACTGATTTGCATTTTAATTTTTTAGTTTTTTAATCTTTGAAACAAGTTCAGTATATAAAACTAATACGACTAGAAATAATTAGAGTAACAAAATGATTGGCACAATTACAACAAATTATAAGTATTCAGCTGTTTTCAGAGCAGTCAAATTTTGTAGACTTCGTAACGCTAATTACTTTAATAGAAATTAAACAAAATTACGATTCACGTATGAATGTATTAAAGAATGCCAGTTTAATGTAAGCAATTTTAGTGTAAATTACTTGCTACTTTTTAACATCAGAAGACTAAAAGGAATCAGGGTGTGTTTGATCTAAAGTATCGATTTTGTAATTGAGTTCTCTAGTGCAGTGGAGTTTTACGAATGATTCATGAGAGTTTCCTGAAATTCGTTTGGGATTCGACGTGAACAAATTGTGTTTGATACACAATTCGATATTCCAAGAATTCTCTGCATTCGTGCGCACAGTCGATGGAAGGTCAAAACAAATCGAGCTTTTGAAGCAAGATTCTGAAAGCGAAAAGCTTGAACTGAATTAATGATCTCTTTTTCCTCGTCTTTGATTGGAAGTCATAGGTGTGTATAGAGTTTTGAACCCCTTTTGGATTTAAAAAAATTCTATTTCTTTGAAATTAGAAGAATTATAATGATTTTCTAATGAGTTTAATGTAATTCATTGTAAATCATCTATACAAATATTAAGAATTGTTTTTATTATTTAGATTTATCTTTATGAAGATACATACAATTAGAGAATCCTTTTGCTAAAGATGTGCATAAATCAAACAATTTTTCATTGAGTTCTTTCCGTATAAATATTATAGTTTCTTCATTTTATATTATCTCATATCTTCGAGTGTGTACAAACTTTAATAGTCCAAAGAATTTTTAACAAATGAGGAATTTAACTTTATAGTGACATTCAATTTACTGTTAGAAGATAAAAATAATAAAAGCGCGTGCAAGAATAAAAAATACATACTTTATTTCTAATAAATATTGTATATATACATATATTACAATTGAACAACAAAATTAAATAAAAAGTTGGTGAGTATGAGTTCAAAATCAAATGAAAAACAAATAAAATTTTAAAAAGGAGATTTCATTACAATCTCATTAGCGAATTGGCTTCTAGAAACCACCAGATCCATGAACAGAATAATTATAATAAATACTAGTTAATCCTCCTGATGGCGGATCATTATAATTACCACAGACACAACAATCCGTGCGTTAATTTGGATCCTCATGCATTTTCCTTTCTAAATTTATTTTTAAACGCGGTTCTTTAGAAAGCGACTGTCCCTTTGTCAAATTAATTTAAACAACGGTTAGTTTAAATTATTGTGTCAGTTCAATAATTTTTATGAATATTCCACAGTTGATACGATCGCCATTCGTAAACTGTAAATTTATTAATAAAATGTAATTATATAAATTTAGTAGTAGTAATACCCCGAAACTTTGTATAATAGAATAAAAATTTCCATTGTGAGGATACACATGTTATAAATGAATTATATGTATTTCATTAAATTATTACTCACTTAGACTAGCTTTGCTCTGAACAATTACACTAATAACAATAACTTTAATTATAATTGCCCTCTTTCTCTTTTACAACAAAACCCAAAATTATTGTTATTAGTTTACTCTCTTAGACCAAAATCTAAAATTACTATTACTAGTCTATTCTTTTCGAGCAAACCCCAAAATCATTATTATTCCTCGATTTTTGTAGAGCAAAAAACCCATCAAAACATTTGCACCCATCTAATTGCCACTATAAACTGACGAGCTAGATAATGCTCTCTCTCTAAAAAAAAAACATGGGGTTCGAAACAAATACAACACTAAATTGCCACAGACTAGATTATTCACAAACACCGAGCGGTCAAGATTAATGGTTTGGTCGACTCGATACTCACTGTTCTTGCCCGGCACTGGAACACAAAGACAAATCTCTTGACCTTCGTCACGGCATTGCCAGTGAATATCTTCGGACGATAGGCAGGTCGAGGGCTAATCTTGTAATCGGGGAATGTAAATGGCGGTTTGTCTGGCACGCTGCTGGCCGATCTCTCCACCTCATTCCCCCCACCCCCTCTTTCTATCTCTCTCTCGGCCATTCTATGCCCATCTGTTTCCTTTGTCTGATTCTCTGAGGTCCTATGGTCGAACCCTGTCTGATCCTTGGAGCCTACCTCTACTCTTTCCACCTCCCAGCACGTATATGTATACTGATTTTCAGTGGCTTTCCTGGAGATACATGCATACA